GCGTCGCGACGTAGCCTCACAAAATTTAGGACGCCTCCGAGTCTTGCCGTGGTGATCCATACGGTATATCTCACCGATGGGACTTTGGGGAACAATTATTGCCATTCTAATCCCCTCCGTCTTTATTCCGGCCGCCTCCACGATGAACTCATTGAAGGTTCTCTATTCGCCGCAAGCTCTCGATTTGCCAAGATGAACGTTGTGATTCATGATTCTCGGCGAAACGGAATGATACTTAAAATTATATTTGCGTTAATGTATAAATTATGAATAATTTTTTTTTGCAAACAAACAATAACAATGATTAATTATAATTATTTTTATTATTGATAATAAAATGATAATAATATTTAATAATGATGATAAAAGTAATAAATCTAAATTAAATCTTGATTCAGATTATTCTTGGAAAAGTTAAGATTTAGAATTATAAATATATATATATTTATCAGTATATAATTTTACAAGCTTTTATCATTAAAAAATACACGGATTTAAAGGTCGAGGTGGCAAGAAGCAGAGTCGAGCGACCGTGTGGTAGTTTTATAAGCGTTGCGTTATAAACTCGCGGTTAATTTCTATTTGCCTCGTATATACACGTTGACATTTTATTATGAATACGCGAGCGGTATGATCTATGCACAGGTGTAACAATTTCGGGGTAATAAATTAATGCTCCCTCAAGAGAGCAGCGAAGTGGTAAAACCCTCGCCCGTTGCAAATTGCTGGTTCTCATTATTATTGCTGCTGACCGTGGCTAACACCCTCTATCTTGTGTATCCCGGTGAACGGGGTAACGCAGCGTTATTACGACGACCTGCGTTAAGCTAATGATAACTACGATGATGCGCTAACGAGCTTTGGTGTGTTCCTGATGCCGATCTAACTTACTCCCAGGACGACTGACGTCTGTACTTCGCTCTGATAGAAAAGTTAATTACTTTTTGTAGGTAATTGATAGGATGTAAGACGGCAAAACGCGAGTCCGCCAATAACCACCGGGACTATAATTAGACGATCACGCGAGAAGTAATTATTGCATCAACTTGCGCGCACCTGCAACGGCGGAGTATTTCCTTTGTTATATTATTCTTGCTTGTTGTGGGCTTCTAATATATCCATGCAGATTAAAGCTTCGGTGTACCGACTCAAAGTAAATTTAACCCGCATTTACGGCAACCCGTACCGCGAAATTGATGTTAAATTACTGTAATTAATTGCCACGAGTAAGCTACACCGCGGTCGTATGCGTCATTACTATGTTTCGTATGTTTATACAAATTCTGTTATTTCTGTATAAACTAATAGTTTTAGTAAAAAAAAAAACAATGCAGTGCGTTCAATTAAGTTTGAATTACGAGATATAATTAATTATCATCATACTATTTAACAATAGAATGTTGTTAATCTTTGCACTTTCTTCGAAAATCTCGCGTAAAAAAAGTTGATATTAATATCAACAACATTTAAACAATTCTTAAAATAAATCGATCAAAGCGATGAAACACAGTTTGTATAAACGCGTACAATCGATTTTTCATTTCGTTGAAAATTTTGTAGTAATTAAACTCTATAAAATTGCAATATACAAACCAACATGTGAAATTAACCGTCTCGCTATGAAAACGAATATTGATATTTTATCAAGAATCGATCGTTTACTCGACTGTGTTAAATCTACTTACTTTACGTTCGAGTATTATTCTCAATGCTAAATCGATATAGCGTTTCATAATGCTTTTTCTGCAGTAAGAAAATGATATTTTTCCTACTTCGTTCATAACGCGTTGCGCTGACTGCAATGGTAGCTCGACCGCATCTTCTCCGCCTCCACAATTTCTTCGTTCCATTATACGTGGACGCGGGTCATAATGTATTCGCTCGGTTTAAAGCGTCATGGGTGTTCCGCGCGCACGAACGTGCCGAGTGCCGGACGCCGGCGCCAAGACCGGGTATAACCCGTTGCGGCATGCACTGCCGCAGAATTGGTGTTAAATTACAATTATTAATTGCAGTAAACAAGCCACACCGCCAGTTCCATTCGCTTATGTACCCGCGTCGTTTGCCTTTAATTCGACGAACGGCCGCCGCCCGTGTCGGATTCTGATTTATCAAATTTCGCACCGAAATGACGGAAATGACGGATTTTAAAGCGGGCCAACCAAATTTCACGAGGGATCTCCATTTTGTCGCGCGGAGCGTCTCGTAAGTTAATTTATCGACTTGGAACAATTGTTGATCGGCCTGAAGAAATTTTCTTAGATCACCTCAGGAGCCTTAAGTTCTTTCAGAAGCCCAGGCTTTTTAAAAGCTTTAGGCTTTCTCAGCGGAAAGATATGACTGAGTGGAGATATAAAATATCGAGCTTTTAACTTCTTAGGGAAAAGGAAAGAATATTATATAGGTGTGGTTGATCATTATTCACATCTATATCGCTGTATATAAAATTATGAATTTATCAGACATCTACTTTTACGGATCTATCCTAAAGATTTAAAATAAAAATAAAAAAGTAATAGGTATATATTAAATTTTTTTCTACGTTCTAAAATTTCTATAAACATAAATTTATAAAAATTATTAATTTTTTTGTGAATGTAATATATTCAGATTCTGAAATAAAATGCGATGAAAAACTATCATTGTTGATAGTGATGCATTCTGAACGCGTATCGATTTTCGCGGGGGCCGCGATTGTCTCTCGTAAAGTTCTCAGTCGACCAACGTCGTTTCTCAAAATATCACGTATATCCTCACATTTTACCGAAAATGATATTTCGCGATCGCCCCGCGCAGCGAAACTATTTTATGTCGCGAATTCACGAGCATGCTCTCTCTCTCTCTCTC